GGGCATGTTTTGTATAACATTAACAATGGTTTTCTTATTGCATGACACACATCTAGGTTTGTCATAATTAATCAGCAGTTGGTATTTATAACTGTTCCAAAACAACTTCCGCACCATCAAAGTCATCAGGTGATATACAAAGTCTGAAGTATTATCAAAGTAGTTGACCTTGTATACCATGTAAATTTAAGAGCATCTTAAGAACGTTTTCAGCCTCAAATCGCAAAAAAATATAAGAACGTTTAGCCTCAGCTCTAGAATTAGACGTTCTTTTATTAAAAAAAATAAAGTGTACAGAAACACTTGTCAAATCCGGCCCTAAAAAAGAGATATCTACATGTACTCATGTCCCTAATTTTAGCTGAAGTTTGCCGTGCTCAATAGACTAAACAAAGAGAATAACCTTATTCCAAGGGCTCTTTGCACGGTTATTCCCATTTTTAAAGGGAAGTGAAAGCCCTGGAGGTCCTGGAGACAAAGCTGCCACTTGAGAACGACGCGTCCATTAGGTGGAAAACGTTAATTTTATTTAAACTTGTCACGGTCTTACATGCTTCGATATACCGACTCATGTGTTAAAACAAATTGAGCTACACTTGAATTCTGTCTACCCGTTACACAGTACGAAGTTGCAGTTCAAGAAAGGCTTTGAATTCGAGTACAACTTCAGTTCAGACCTCGTGCGTAAGTCTCCTATTTAACCGGTCAGCGGCAACAGTGAAGAGTGACTGTGAAAGTGTGAAGGCTATGGGAAGGAAACTGGAATGAACCTCGCTCAATCTTGTAATTCTTTTTACTGTACCCCCATTTTCTTACTATTTGTGCCACAGTAACGGATAAGAATAATACAAGAGTGATTTTTTTCATTGTAACATCCTTTAGTAAGATAAGGTCTCATATTTGGATCAAGTTTTTAAGAACTGATTTTTATTGAATTTCACTCTTAGACCGAAGTTTTGGTCAAATTTTGCCGGACTGTGAAAAAGAAATTTTCCCCGCCATCCCCTCCCCCTTTGCCCGTTATCTTCACTCACTCCTCATCTTCCCCTTCTTTTGGACATCGCTGGATCCGCCAGTGTCATGTTCTATAACATTTTTAGCGTCGAATTTTTATCGTTGAACTACTCCACGACAAGTGTTTGGACGCTATGCTATCGCTCATGTGCTGCGCTGTATGATAATAAGATGTATAAGTATGGGCTCCTGCTCATGGCAACGCCATTATCACGTCATTCAAAATTAATTAGTCTTCCGTGTTCGATGAGGACTTAAATAGCGAAGTGCATGGTTCCGCATGGCGGTCGAATATTGCCACTGTTCAGCCGCTATAATGCAACAAACTGGTGCCCGTGAATGTTGTAGTGCATACAGGTAAGTAGGCACTTTATCAATACAGTCAATATACGACTCAAGTGATATTTAGGGTTCTTGATGGAATAGTTTATTGCATACATACATAGACTTAGTGTGCTTAACAACACATTCATGCTGCGTTCGTATAACTAAACTATATCTGGTCGTTAAACACTAGTTTTGTGACATGAACTCTACCATACAACAAGCTTAGTTTCTTTTATTTATCAATGATGGCTCTAATTGTTATGGGCATTGAATGAAATTACTGAAATCTAATATCAAAGGTTGAACGTGTCGGCGGAACGCTGGTCTATTTCCTTTAAAATATGACAATGCAGGCCGTTTTCGGCAAATATTCGTACCCAATAAGATAAAGGGAGAGCGTGTTTTCCGTTTCTGTTTGTACGAACGATTAGTACCATTGCTTTATACAATGTTTGCTCGCTAATCTCAAGAAGAAAAGGGTAAAAAAAGCCAGATAAAGACTGAGAAATCTACTGCTAATCCGCCAACCCGAAGTGTTTTTTTAGGGAAAAACCCCAACTTCTGATTTCAGTTTCGCGGCACCGTTTTTCTTGCGACAGCGAGCTAGGCAAACTGAGGGAAAGGGTAAACCGCGACGTTTTTCGATTCTGTCGCATTCTAGTTGTCGTATATTTAGGCAACGTTTAGTGATTTATAGTATATTCGATAAATTTTGCTCTTCCGTGTGTCAGCGATTCATTTCCGGGATCAGAAATTATATTTGACTTCTGATATAGTTTAGTTGCGGTTATAACTCAAATTTACAGCCAATCTGCAACCTAGAGAAAAGAAAATAAATTTTAAGATACTAGATCAGTCAGAAGCTGCAAACTTAATTCGGAATGCTTCGAGAATGCTCCCGAGATGCAATTCTGTTAGACATGCCTGACCACCGTAAACAATGACGTGTTCAGGCCCTCTGGACGCAAATTACGGCGCTCCTGTACCGTTCATATTTTTGTTAACGCTGCTACAATATATATTACTATCCTTTCCAACAAATAACAGCCACCCGAAACCAAACACTACAATGCATTATTTGTTGTTCGGTGTTCAGCAAAATACTCCTCTTGTACACTAAATTTTGGCGGAAATTTGATCGATCTCATTTTACGGGAGGGGAGGCGCGGGGGGAGGGGGGTGGTTATCGGAAAACACCTTGGTGCACTGGTGAGATGTTTTTTTTAAAAATCTTCTTATCAAATCGCCCCCCGCCCCCCCGCCCGCCAAAGATCAAGGCTTAACCAGGACAGTTAATGACGGATGCTTGAATCGGTTTGATTTTTGATATGATATGATGTGATATGATACTGCTTTCCATCCATCGTATTTGCTCTCATATGGCTAGTACAAAGGCATACCAACTGGAGGGGTAATGATGAGAATTAAAATTAAAATAAACCTTGAATTTTTTTTTAAGTCTGCTTTACAGGTGAGGAATTCCGCAGCACTGAAGTTCAAAATGGCGGGTGAAGCAGCTTACTTCTTTGTGATCCTACAGTTATGGTTTCTAGTTAATGTCATCGTCCAAGGTAGTTTACCCTATGG